TGCCTAAAGAAAATGCTCCTTGTCTTCATTTCACAAAAAATAGGGATGATGGTGGGGAGTGGGTAGGGAAGAAGGCAGCAGGCAGGGGTGGTAGAATTCCCTGATGTGGGGAGATAAAGCATCAGGACAACACTGCTGCAGTGACAGGGCAGGAGCAGCAGGACAAGAACAGGACTGCAGAGCCACAGGCCAGCCAGGGCTGTGGGTGCCATGGCTGAGCTGTGCTGCTGGGGGAGCACAGGGACCAGCTGGGTCCCCGCGGGCGGCTTGACGCGACCCCGGGCACAACGTCAGGGCTGACAGACTGTTCCGGTGACAGGGGTGAGTCATGGCTGGTGACACAGTGTCCCTCAGATGCTGCTCAGGAGCCTTGGCTGGCAGAGCACAGTCTCCCCACACCTCTGCAGCCCAGCTGTGGCACTGCCCAGGCTTCCCTTCAGGGCACAGGCCAGGAAGGGGTTTCCTCAAGCCCTTCCTTGCCCCTGGGAAACCCAACCAGACCTGGCCAGGGCCCTACTGAAATGGAGCCAGAGATGCCCTGGCTGGTGCCCCAGCAGGCACATAGCACAGCCCCAGCCTGCCCTGTGCTGCAGTGCTGGAGGAACACAAAATCTGTTTATCACAGGAAGACAAACCTCTGGCCAGATATCATCTTTGTCCAGGACCTCACAGAGACTGTTCCTACAGCAGGAGTAATGAATCCTTAACATGAAAAGTCTCCCCTAAGACATCAGCTCCAAGATCCCTGAGCAAGCCAGCGACAGCTCCCAGCACAGCCACAGCAGCTCAGACCTCAGTGAGGCTGCAAATCCTCCCCAGGGTCTCCAAGCACCAGCACAGTGGGACAGCACAGGGCCCCCCTGCTGCCTTCACCCAAATGGCACCAGAAGCAAATGCCATTTCACTGTGCTGAGCCACAGCTGCAGTCAGAGCAGCAGCAGCCTGGAGGCAGTCAGGGGCAGCAGCCCCTTCACAGCCACCTGGCAGGGAGAGAGGGTCAGTAGAGGCAAGGGAGAAGGTGCTGCTTCCTGGGGGTCCCAGTTGAATTAATGGGAAAGGGTCCCTTTGGTAGCCCAGATTCTGCAGTTTCACTGGGCTTGCGGTGGCTGCAGGATTTAGTCAAATCATGAGGCACTTAGGAAACTTGGTGAGGAGCAGAGAGCCTTGCAGAGGTCTGTGGCACATCTCCAGCCCATGGACCCCACAGCAGCTTTGGACACAGCCTCCTCAGTCTGGCCTTCTCAGAATATTTTTGCAACCTTCTGCCATGCTCCTCCTCCTGCAATTTCCCAAGCTGTTGCTGAACACCACCCTGACAGTGTTGAGCTCCATCTTTTCCATCCTTTCCATCCATCCCTGATAGATTATGGAGGGGCTGGGATCTCAGCAGGAGCCCCAGACTCCAAGGAATTTGAGGGGGGATGCTGCTCTGGCTGGGGATCCTAGGAGGGATCCCAGCCCTGTTCCAGAGGTGTCAACAGCAAAAGCAACTGATTTCCCAGCAGAGGGTCCCCAACTAAGCACCACTGCCATGGCAGAGGCTGCCGGTGAGCACGGAGCAGAAGGAAGAATGTATCTTCCAAAGCTGATTAAAAATAGATGCAGCATCCAGCTAATTATGCTGTGTAATTAGCATTTGTTTTCTGCTTAGCAGAAATCTGCAGGGAGCAAAGCTGAGCTGGACCCCGTGTATCTCATTTGCCCCAGCTTGGGCACAGGAGGCTCATCCCAGGGAGGGAAGGGCTGCAGGGGGGTCACAGCCCCCCCGAGCTGCCCCAGCCCCACACAGTGTGGGTCCCTGCACCACCCAGGGCTGGGGGTAGTGGGGCAGCAGAGCCCGGGGGTCCTACACACCCTCTCCCACATTTAGGTCCCCGTCAGCCCATCCGCAGCCCAGGCTGTGAGCAACAGATGACAAGATCACAGCGATGCTGGAAATTAGGTCAGCAATAGCCTGCAGCAGATTTTAACATTTATCATCTCGGGGAGGCTCTTATGCAAGTCAGAGCTGCCCCAGGGCAGCCCCGCGCCAGCAGCCGCCCCCGGCCCAGCTGGCCGAGAGCAAAGCAGGGGGGCAAAGGGACGGAGC